TGGCCCCAAAAAAACACGTAGGCCCGCTTTTCATACAATCCCCGCCGCACGACGGGAACTCCGGAGATTGTTAAGCACTGACTTCGAAAGACAACGTCTCATGTTCTTCAAGGACGCCGCAAAGACAACAAAAGGACGGACAGGTGGACGGCACATGTGGTCATGCATTGTGCTCTCATAAACATTGTGTGCAAGTGCGTCACGCAGCGCCCCTTCGTCCCTTCCGAAATGCACCACCGACATGCCCTGGTACCTCAGTCGCCTACCACTGCCGTGTTGTTTCCTCGTTCCTGCGCCCGTTCAGTTTTGCCTCACGATGCCAGTTTGGCCAATTATCAGCTACTGGTGAGGCAAGTTGATTTAGCAGTCCACGAAGAGGAAGCAAAGCGTCGGGGTGGTCTCTTTGCCCCCAAGTCATTACGCAACATTGAGAACGCACATTGCGATTTTCCGAAAAGTACCGGCGTGTTTGGCTGCCGCGGATTAACAAAAATTATTTGAAGAAACTTGGTGATATTTGCGTCTTCAGGTGTAACTATATTACGGGCTAGTGCCATAGCCAAGCTCTTATACCTGCAAACAGAGATAGCTTACCGTGATACTGTACATACAAACTTGTCCGCGACCTTTGCGTGCACCATCAGCGTGTCAGGGAGGTGGTTAAAATCATGATGGCGATCGTAGGAGCTCGAGTATTGACTCTGAAAGTGGATGTGATACAATACTCATTCACTCGTGGTTTGAAGTATAGCCGATCTGTTCGAGTTGGGGGGTCAGATTTTTAAAAACTGTTCGATTGATTCCTCAAATCAGTCTCCATCATTTTTCAGGGACTCCACTGTACATTAGCGCACACCAACAAAAGTAAAATACAGGGTAAAATGTGTTAAAACATGCCCAAAAAATGTTACCGGCATTAGCATGACACGCACCACGCGAAGTTTCTACCTGTCATAATATTTTCCTCGGCTGTTTCCACAAATTCCAATCAAAGAGGCTCAACATAAGCACTGTTTAAATACTTGGGGAGCCGCACTGAAACTTTGGTGGCTTGCACCGCAGCAGTATATTGCCGCATGGTTTCGCGTGGTTCCGTGTGGAAGAGGACGAAAAAGTTCGGACTCCTCAATTCTTGGCCAATCCCCCTGAGTGAGCAAAAGTGCAGGCATCATTATCATAATCACCTCAACCGACTCTTGGCCTATAGCTCAACGAGAAGTACAGCGCAAGGTTACCTTGAGCGTGACAAGATTGGTGGAGCTGCTGGGTACGACGACTCACGACGCACAATATGCACAAGAGCCCACCCGGGAGCTGGAACAGATTTCTTGTGCTCCTGAACACGCCAATTCACAGAAGAAGCCGCCGCCAACGAGGCCTATCACCAGAGACAGCGGAGCAGCTTATCGACAGAGCGACTATGACTTTACTTCAAGGCGACATGGAAACTTCTACGTCTTCTACGCCAATCTATTGCACTGTCCAGAACCCGCTGATGCCTAGTCCCTTTCACAGAGAGCTGTTTGAGGATGTTGACGACTAACTGAGCGAGTTCTAACATGTCGCAGCGATCTGGGACGAAGCCGCTTTTGCGATCGGCGAGCCAACCCTTCGCGGCGAGCGCCGAGACGGAAGCAAGGCAGCTGTTAAGGAGGAGCGCGAAGATGCCCGGCTATTTCTCATGTACTGGGAGGTGCGTGGTTGTCCACGCAGCACTAATGTCGCTTGTGCCGACGCGGAAATGCGACACGTGGCGCCTTTGTGCACTGACGCCGGGACGCCGAGGTTCCGCCGAAGACGGACCTAGGACCACCACGCTGTGCGTCTCTGGCTGAGAAGTGTGGCAGCTTGGGCTAGTTGGTATGACATGACGATAGTTATAGCGCCAGAACAGAACGACGACACAGAGACAAGAAGGACACGAAAAACACGAGCTCGTGTCCTTCGTGTCCTTCTTGTCTCTTTGTCGTCGTTCTGTTCTCGCGCTATAACTATCGTCTGGCTGAGCGGTTGCCGGCGCTGAAATCAACGCCACATGTGCAAGCTCATGCCATTGGAGTCGCCTGGCCTGCGACCACTGTTCGACAGTGTGACCACTGTTCGACAGTGTGACAATTTCAGAGACGCTGATTTGTTCTTTTGGCGGCAGTAGGCTTTTTAATCTTTTCCACACACGTTTGGGGTCATTGAGAATGTTTTCGAACTTTCTTCCGTAATAACAGTTTCTTGCTTCTTTAATCTCACGGCCTAGATTGTTTCTATTTTATTTTATAATCAGTTAGGAGATGAGTTTAGGAGTTTAATGAATTGATTAAAAAGTTTGTCCCGTTCCTTCATTTCTTTAGAAGCAACGTAGTAATCCAAGGCTTTCTACATTTCTTGTTTTGCTTCAAGGTTGTTACAAGAAATGCTTCATCATATAGTTGCTTAACGTGATTGATAAAATAATAGTAAGCAATAACAGGATCCGTTAATTGATACAAATGGGACCATGAGGCTTCACTAACATACGTTTGAAAAACAGTAATATTGCTTTTGTTAATATTTCTAAGTTTAAAAGGTTTATTGTCATGCATTCTATGTGTTTTTGAATGAGGGTTTAAATAGACAAAAATTGGCATTTGATCGCTTACATCGAATAGCAAAACACCAGCTTCTATGACATTCGTTCGTGGGATAAAGCATAAGTCTATGAGAGTTTCGGAGACACCTGTTACTCTTGACGGCACATCAATTACATTTTCAAGGCCATAAGAGAGAAATAGATCAAGAAGAACTTGTTTGTTGCGTTCTAGAGACAGCATATTGATGTTGAAATCGCCCGTAATAACAATAGCCAGACCGAGGTCGGAACAAAGCCCAGCATACGTTCTAAAAAGTTAAAAAAGGCATCTATGGCACCAGAAGGCGGCCTGTAAATTAGCACAGTTACAGTGTGGTGGCACTTCATCATGAGGGATTCGTAGTGTTGGTTTACGACTGAAAACTCTGCCACAGTTTCGAAATGCAAGTCAATTTTTATATACAATGCTACCCCACCTCCTTGTTTCCCGTTTCTGGATACGGTTGTACATCTGTAACCTGGGAATTGTACTTCATAATCGTCGGTGAACCATGTATCAGAAAAGGCTAAAATGTCGAAGTTGTATTCTAAATCACCAAGAAGCATGCAAACGCTTTCTTCCTTACTTTTTAAGCTTTGTGCATTTAAATTCAGAATAGACAAATCATTTCTCGAGCATAATACGGTGGTAGCCTTAAAATAGTCATTATATTAATATTTATTTAACCTTGCCATTCTTATACGTCACGTGCAAAAGAACCGAACCAAAATGGGCGGAACTGTGTCTGTTTTGCTTGCATTACCAGTTTTTCTCTTGGATGGAAGTCGATGAATGGCTTCTACGTCCTAGTCAGAAAGATTGGGAACGTCAATGTCGTCAGCTAGCCTATTAAGTTTGTGCAGTTTGTGTCATCGAGATGTGAGATGGCTGTACTTGGAGTGTTCACTAGATAGACGGACGGACGGACATACAGATAGACGGATGAACGGATGAACGCACAGACAGGCAGAGGGGCGGCCGCACGAACAGACGCACAGACGGATGAACAGATAGAATAACGGACGTACGGGTGGACGCATAGAGGGACGCACGGGCGGACGGATGCACTGACGGTCATGTAGATGGATGGACGCACGGATGGGCGCATGAACGAACGGAAGCAAAAACGAATGGGCGGACGAAAGCGCGGACGAACTGACGAACGCTACACCCCATCAATCCTCGTTCACTCCGTTGATATACTGCGATTTTTTTTTCTTCTTTTAATTACAAGCATCGAGTCGATGCTTTTAAAAGGGGGGACTAATGCCGCGTCGTTTCGTGTAGACGAAAAAGTTCGGACTGATCCGCTTCAATTTTTGCCCTTTTTCTCATTAGTTTAAAAAAAAAACTTGAGATAACAAATTAACAGAATTTCGTCAGAACTGCCCGGTTCAGGGCCAATCCCCCAGCGTGGGTGTGTGCCACAGTTTCCAGGCCCTTCCTTCCTTCCCTCCTTTCTTGGCGTAGCGCAACGAGCAGAACAACGTAAGGCTACTTTGAGCGTGACCATAATAACATTATATCCCTTGTTAACTTGCCTAGCTCTGCACGATGACTCGTTTTCGATGGGAGCTGCTGGGCTTCGCTCATCCACTCTTAAAATTGCGCCTCGAGACCTTTCACTTGTTCTTGGGCCACGCAATTTGTAGCGATCGAATGCGAGATCGTAGGTCGTGGTGGGCAGCCGGTGTACGCGGTGGCTGGTATACGTGTCACTCATCTTAATTTTCTGGTCTTGTGTCGAGGCAACAAGTGAGGCCTTTCTGACCCGATTAGCTCGTTGAAATGCGACAACAAAAAACCGCACGGCGTCTCTTTTAACATCGTGCACAGCAACAGATGACGAGCCCTTCACAAACTGCTGTATAGGTACTCAGGTGGGTACCTGGGTATGGTGGGAGAGGGCGACAACAGCGGAAGTGACACCACATGAACACCATGTATACTCAATTGATGTACACATAAATTCTGTTCTTGTGTGCAGCTTTTCTATTTCGGTTTTGTGATGAACGACAGCGATTGGGGCTCAGCCCTACGGAGCTCCGCCCCTATAGTAATAAATGTTTCGCAACCGCGAGAATGCGAGCCTCAAACCACACAAAGAAAGTTCCTCGATAAGTGTGGGCAACTTCTTCGGAGGCGCCTCATCACCGTATTCTGAAAGGTTTACCTTCTGACCTCGTGTCACTTGGTGAATACCTGTGGCGTCACTTTTAAAACTACACTTGGGTGATTAGTCCACCTATCGAAACGTCGGCCAGCCTGTCCGAGGCCCTCACTCAATCCAATCAAATATTCTTTGAGTCATAATGTGTTTTCCTCACTTTGGATCTGAAGAATTTTTGTAAGACTGATCTCCTTGGGCGTCAACTGAGCGATTTTTGCCAGCCTCACCAACGACGCTGACTTGGTGTCCCCTTTTCTGGAGCAGCGCGGTGACGTGGCGCTTGAGGCGCTCGGCTATGCGTTCTGTGCGGCAGCTTCCAACGAAAAGGACCACGTTCAGCGGCTGGGAGGCCATGCCGACGGCGTCCACGCGGCCACGACGACAGCACGCAAGCAGCGGGGCCACACCGGCGATGAAACGGACCTGCATATACCAAGTTTTGTGCACTTGTAATCATTTCGAGTGTGTTTTCTCCATACGGCTTCAAAGCGGCGCCGTAACCACCACAACAGGTATACTGTCGTGTCTAAAGGTTGATTTAATTGGGGGAATGGTGCATGACGAATTTTTAATGCTAGAGTGATCAACGTATGTGTTTAGTGCCCTTATTGATCCCGAATACATTCGTGTCCAGTTTTTGCATACACATATCTCAGACTAGAAGTACAGTGACCCTTCATTTCCGGTTATGTTCGTGTTAAGAAAGGAAACAAAAAATTGTCTTGGCTCGAGGGTGGCGGTACGTCCAAGTATTCGCCGAACATGGTTATAAAGCCTTGCATCTACTCTGCACTGCAAAATATAAGTAAATGATGACACATTTATTATTCAGGAGGTTTCACTCATTAAAATGTCCATTTCGCGTTCTTAGCCACTATTCTGGGGCGTAGCCAGAAATACTTTTCGCGTGGGGCAGCAATTCACGTGCGTGCATTTGTGTGCGCACTTATATATACGGAAGTTGCCTTGTACTCAAAGGTTTCTGCATCTATGGCTGTCCACTAAGTCTCATGTCCCCCTTAAGCATGCAGTGATTGGATTGATGACGATGATTATTTAGCCTGTCAAAGCGGGCCTACATGGATTCAATAGACACTTAACAGCGCTGGGTTTGAGCTTTTCCAAAGAATATTTGTGCAATGTTGGGATGAAAATAACACTGCCATGTACAGCCTATGGGGTCTCAAAATTAGGCACGCTCTCGGAGCCAACAGGTACAACAGACGCGGTCGAAGCAAACCAAACCAAACACATTTATTAAACTACTTCCACACTGACAAAAGTGTCAGCCGAATGAAAATACGTCACTAGTGACACGCTAAAACAACATTGTAGAATATTCTAAATACACTCAATCGAAATCACAACAAACACAAGGTAACTCAAAGGCGTCGTCGTCAACGCTCAACTCGCCAAGAAGGACCCACGGGAACGAGGCTGCCACACACCAAAAAGACTGCCCAATCCTTTCGGTCCAGCCACTAGCATTTCCATCAGGCGTCACTGCTGAAGCGACTGCGGTTCGGACTGGCACGGTGGATGGACGTGCTTTTCGAGGGTTCCCGATTGACTGCGCAGTAAAGTGTTTTTGCATGTTTCGAGCTTGCTTTTCTAATTTGAGGCAGCAGCGTAAACCTTTATACAACTTATTACATTGTACGGCTTTTGGGGGGGTCAGTCACCAGGTATTCACTTGTTTGTGTGTGTGTTTTCTCCTGCCAGCCCGTGGTGGAAGTGCACGTACACCGAACACACAAATTTTTTTTGTAGAGCTTAGACTTTTTTTGCTTAGGGCTGTGTTCGTCGTACGCCGAGTTTTGTAATTACCGAGTGGGACAATTTATAAAAACAATTGGTGTCAAAAAGACATGGTTAACTAACTGTAAAATGTTCAGAAGGCGGGGCGGGTTTGGAAATGGACGCTAGTGCAGACGCGAATGCACAAAAGGCTGACGCCAAGTGTAGGCATTGTGAGGTCGAAGAAAAAATGGAGAAAATGATGGTTGCCCAGAGTAAACTGCTCATGAGAATCGCCAAACTGGGGAAAGCTTGGCACTCAGCTAGGTGCGGGACACTCCGGCTGAAAAGTCACGGCACGTGATAATCGCTGAGAACTCGTACCAGCGTATTCGGTTGGGCGTTTTCGAGCGCTCTAAAGCACTCTCAAAAATAGCTGCGCCTCCGGTTGGTAGGATTCGAGCGCTCGGACTACCTTTGGTTGGCTCTTTCAGAGGGTCGGCATCTGACTCAGAACGCTCTAGACCGCTCTGACTTCGAAGTGGGAGTGCAGCGCGATCTGAACGAGAAGACGGGTCACGTGACACATGCCGGCCAATCACGTGGCTGCCGGCAAGTGAACGAGGCGACGTAAGGAGCGCGAGCGTGCATTTCGGATGAGGGCATCGCCGGGCGCGTAATACTTCGTACACGTGCGTTGTTAATGGCGTTTTTGTGCTCGTGTGCGGCTAAATCACATATCATCATCATGGTCATCATCATCATCACCATCATCAGCCTGACTACGTCCGCTGCAAGACAAAGGCCTCTTCTGTGTTCTGCCAGTTAACTACGTTCTGTGCTTTCTGCTGCCAACTTATACCCGCAAACTTCTTAATGTCATCTGCCCACCTAACTGTCTGTCTCCCCCAACCCGCTTGCCTTCTCTGGAAATCCCGTTAGTTACCCTTATAGACCAGCGGTTATCCTGTCTACGCACTACATGCCCAGCTCATGTCAATTTCCTCTTCCTGATTTCAACTATGATATCCTTAAACCCCATTTGTTCTCTAATCTACTCTACTCTCTTCTTGTTTCAAATCACATATACGATGCCATCATAAATTCACCGTGTCAATGACGATGCGGCTAGCGAATGGGGGGGAAACGTCAATGCTGTCTTTACAGCAGCTTGCAGACAGCCTCGCGATTGGCCATGAAAATAGCAGCTCAGACGAGGACGATCGCCAGATTTATGTGCGCAGCTCACAAGGCTTTCGCTATGCCCAGACATGTCAGCGAAAAAAAGAGTATAACAAAGCTCAGACACGTCGGAGATGTCCACTGAACTGATCGGCGCCATTTGTTGACGCGACGCAGCAATGTTTACCCGGCAGCTTCCCGCGCTGGCTGCACGGTGGCGCTACAGGCGCGCAAGCACTCTGAGACCTCCGATGTATTTGGTTGGTACGCTACCTCTCACGCTCCGATTGCTAGCTGTTTCGGCATCTGGCGACTCTAAGCCAGAGGTCCCGAGCAGCCAACCAAATACACCATAAATCGATTCGCAGAAGCAGTCAAAGAGAGGGTAAGAGGTGACAAGAGTGTATAGGTATGACATTGTGATAGGGATTTGGAAAGGTGCAATGGTCCCGGTTTTAACATTCGGCAATGCGGTCTTGTGCATGAAATCAGGGGTTTAAGCAAGATTGGAAATTAAACAACGTGGCGTAGATAGACTTGCTTTGGGATCACAAGGGAATACCCTAAATCAGGAAAGTACAGGATGACATGGGATGGACATCATTTGAGGGCAGGGAAGCTAGCAGCAAGACAATTTTTGAGGAGCGATTGAGAAAAATGAGAGGGGGCGTTGGGTAAGGAAAGTTTTCAGCTACTTGTACATGACGAATGTTGATACTAAATGGAGGAAGCGAACTCAGAAATTGTCAAAGAAATATTTAGACAACAGCAGAATACCAAGCCAAAAGGAAACATTGGTTAAGAAGAAGGTGAAGGAAACAGAGAAGGACATATGGAAGATGGGAAAGCTTGTGAAATCACATCTGGAGACCTACCGAACTTTTAAGCAGCAAATAGCAAGGTCAAAGATTCAAGATAATTCTGGTTGTAGTTCTCTGCTCTTCGAGACTAGAACGGGACTATTGCGAACCAAGACGTACCTATAGCAAAATACGAAGGCACAGACACGGTATGTAGTGCGTGTGGAGAGGAAAAGAAAACGGCTGAACATTTGATAGTGTTCAGTAAAAGGTTCCGCCTTATAGTCGAAGATAATGGCGCCGAATTTTTCATAGCATTGGGGTTTAGGGACGGTGAATGCAAAATAGACTTTAAACGGGTAGAAATAACCAGGAGGAGGCTAACTGATTGGTTGCTACAATGAAGGCGTGCGTGAAATTCAGTCCTTAAACAGATGATGATAGTACTTAACCTTATGACTAGGTGGCGTGAGCCACCGACCCATCTAAAGGGCACAGCCGGAGGCATCCATTCATCCATCCGGTACCCATATTGATAATTATGGTGAAGATAACATGCGAGTGCTGCGCCACCGGTTCAGCGGCCTCTTCGCGAGGCATATGTGCCCCACCACGGCCGGGCTAAACTGCACCTTCGCGCTCGCTTCTTACGTCCTTCGCATCGGGTGTAGCGCATGCCATAGAGTTTCCTAAAATTACACAGAGGGAATCTCACGCTGTGATCGTTTAGCCAGCATGGGAATAATGGGTAGTACACGGATTCGCCTAGTCTTCGTACTTGCGGGCGGCGAATCGCACTTAATTGTGACTTCGTTTATTGCTGTGTTTCGGTTTTGTTTCCAAGAAAATAACGAACCCTTTTGTACTTCGTGACCCGATTTGAAAAGGTAAGTCTGAAGATTAAGATGGTGAAGCGCAACCGTTGAACACTTGCTTATCTTTCTTTCGTGACAAAAAAGGTCCAAGCCACGCGAACACAAACGAAGCCAGAAGTATATGAATATCAGACAAATCCGTATACTACCCATCATTCCCATGCTCGCTGAAGCGCCAGAGCCAGAGTTCCCTCTATATTTAGCAAACTCTATGGTATACATGCCTCTCGCCGCAGCTTTGAGGGGGGCGCTGCGACAAAGGTAACATATGTCTCTAGACCCTCCTCCACCACTTCGTGCAGCGCCCGCAACGCTGGCACATTAAGCGTACGCGTCATCACCGCTCGTTGAAAAACAAGTTGCATAATCATTGAAGACGCACAAATGGTTTATGGCATTGCTCATACCTGACGATGTTGGGCTTGGGTCTATACACCCCTGAAAAGCGCACTTTGCTGTTAGTGTCAGAAGCCCCGAAGTGCGAGCACGGCTGTAGTCTCTTGGGGGCAGACAGCGCCATATCACACACTCCACTTCGTCTGGGTACGCTGAATGCTTTGTTCTGTCGCATATCTATTTGATTCAAAAGAAACACGGCCTTTTTCTCTTCTTTCTGTGCATCTGTTGCGATTTTCTTAACACATGCGCGGGGCTTGCTTTTCCGATAATATTCGGACGCCTTTTCCTCTTCTTTCAGCAATTGATGCACCTTCTTACATTTTGAACGATGGTGAGACAATTGGGAGCGCAATCTTCGTGTTATATACGTTAAACCCCAGATGTCTATCTGATCTTCCTGTTATAGTCAGGTATCGACCCGCGCGACGAG